TGCTAATATATTTATATTTTAAGATATGGATTGCCAATTGTGCTAATGTTGGCATAATTTTTTTTGACTTGAAGTGCTCTAGCTATGAGTTAGGAGCTTCCTTTAGTTAGTTATTTATGCCTAAAAGTTTAGTAGCAAATTGTGAAATATTATTCTCCTAACATGCTTGATTGCTTGTGCAGACGGTTTATCACAATGCATACCACAATGATCCATATGCAAAGGAGTTTGGTATCAAAATCAGTGATAAGCTAGCTTCAGTTGAAGCTCGCATTCTGCCTCCCCCATGGGTAAATAGTCTTTGTTTTCTATGTGTTTTGTCACCTATTCAAAACTTACATCTTTTTGTAAGTGCCCATCGGTTGCTGCCTTCTGTCTTTGCAGCTTAAGTATCATGACACGGGCAGAGAGAAGGATTGTCTTCCTCAAGTTGGGCAGTGGAATATGATGAATAAGGTATTGCTTGATATAATAGCCATATGCATTTCACATCAACTGTGGTCTATCTGTAGTTTGTCTCTGCTTTTTTTTGCTTTCTCCTGCTGTTTGTTTAAATGTGAAGTTGCCAGTTTGTGTTTATAACTCAGTGAGATCTAGAAAGTAGTCTGTCTGAATTGTGGTTAGTGAGTGGTAGGAAAAGAGGAAAAATGGGAGGGAGGCTAGAGATTTACCCTTTATGCCCTGGGACCATCTCTAGTCAGCAAGGATGGTGGTTGGCTTTAGTAGAGATATGTCTATAATGAGTAATGTTAGATATGCTATTTGAAGTTGTACGTGTTGTGGATGTTAGGCTCACTTTGATCTTTGCTCACAAGATCACAAGCATTAATGCAACTTTCTTGTGCGCGCGCACACACTCTTTCATTACTGGCTGGTTATTGGTACTCTGGTTTGGGGGTGAAATATTTCCTTTCAAGTTAGAAGACTAAATTTGTTAATTGTCATCATGTGGCAGAAAATGGTCAATGGGGGAAGAGTGAATAATTGGATCTGCGTCAATTTTTCACGAAATGTGCAAGACAGTGTGGCCCGAGGATTTTGCTATGAACTTGCTCAAATGTGTCAAATTTCTGGCATGGTATTTAACTTGCACATTCCCTTCAGGCATCTGCTTCCAATTTCTTTTTGGACTTAAATTTTGTTCATCTCTAAACATTGGATTGTGGGTTTTTACACAGGACTTTGCTCTTGAGCCATTGCTGGCTCCTGTCAGTGGTCGTCCTGAGCATGTAGAAAGGGTTTTGAAAAATCGATACCATGAAGCAATGACCAAGCTCCGGCCCCATGGCAAGGAACTTGACTTGCTTATTGTGATTCTCCCTGACAACAATGGTTCTCTTTATGGTAAGAGACTGGATTTCAGTCAAGTTGATGATGCCTGTGTGGTCTTGTTCTTATTTTATCAAACCAGAGGGTATTGACAAGTTTTATTGTTATTTTATTATTTCTTATTTCATGCCAACAGTTTTGTATTTGAATTAAAATCGCTGTTGATGACTGCCAAATTTATAGGGAAAATTCTGACGAAATCTCTGCTTTAATATGCATCTGAATATATTTGTGCATAATTTTTTATTCTCAGAAAGTACGCGGAGAGTGAAAATTGTATGTGCAGTTTAAAAGATCTATACGTGTGTTTTTAATTTTGTTTAGCTGTTATAAAGCTTCCCTTACCATTGTATGTTTTTAAAAGTTTGTTTTCTTAGGTACTTCATATAATTCATTTTGCAGTTCACAATATGTTTTCCTTTTGTTGCAGGTGATTTGAAGCGTATTTGTGAGACAGATCTTGGGCTTGTTTCTCAGTGCTGTTTGACAAAGCATGTGTTCAAAATGAGCAAGCAGTATCTTGCTAATGTGGCTTTGAAGATAAATGTGAAGGTTGGAGGAAGGAATACAGTACTTGTGGATGCAATATCTAGACGTATCCCTCTAGTCAGCGATCGACCTACTATTATTTTTGGTGCTGATGTTACTCATCCTCATCCTGGGGAGGACTCAAGCCCATCTATTGCAGCCGTATGCAAATCTTCTATCTTCAGCCTCTGAATGCCTTCATGGTTTTATTTTTTCACCCGCTTAGTTTTTTTGGCTGATTAATACAATTGGAATGTAGGTTGTGGCTTCGCAAGATTGGCCAGAGGTTACCAAATATGCTGGCCTGGTTTGTGCTCAAGCCCATCGACAAGAGCTTATTCAAGATTTATATAAAACATGGCAGGATCCTGTACGGGGGACAGTGTCTGGTGGCATGATCAAGTATGATTTACCTCTCCTCTTGTACTTCCTCTCTCTTCAAGCTTGTCTTTGGTGCATTAAAGTTAGGGTTATTGTTAGTTGACCATTGAGTCAACTACTAATCTGTCTCTGTTCAAAGAATAGCTTTTTGTGGTTAGATGGTTTGAATGTCTTTTTCTATAATGCAGGGAACTTCTCATATCCTTCCGTAGGGCAACCGGGCAGAAGCCACAGCGAATTATATTCTACAGGTATTATCCTGTTCTCCCTGTTTTTTTTTTTGGTGCATTGCTGCCATGTCTAATGGTGTCATTATTTTCCAGAGATGGTGTCAGTGAAGGACAGTTTTATCAAGTTTTGTTGTATGAACTTGATGCTATTCGCAAGGTAAAACTGCTTTTCCTTGAAGCGATCTAGGTTTTTTCTTTTCTATTTGGTCATTATCTTGTTGGATTTTGTAAGCCCTCTTAATTTCCCATTTGTCTGCTTGTCAACCTCAGGCATGTGCTTCTTTAGAGCCCAATTACCAGCCTCCTGTGACATTTGTTGTGGTTCAGAAGCGTCATCACACAAGGCTGTTTGCAAATGATCACCGTGACCGCAATGCTGTTGACAGGAGTGGGAATATATTGCCTGGTAATAAATCTGGCTTGGTGATAGAATTGTGTTCCCATTTGCTTTAGATTTGTGTGCCATGTTTCGCTAAACACTTCATATGGTAGGTACTGTTGTGGACTCGAAGATCTGCCATCCCACTGAATTCGACTTCTATTTGTGTAGTCATGCTGGGATTCAGGTAAGACTCGCATTTCTGCACAAGATTCACATTTCCTTGTGTAATTCTGATTGCTGTAGAGCACTTGATGCTTTTGATTTCTCACCAATGGCCGCCAACAACAGGGCACAAGCCGTCCAGCTCATTACCATGTACTTTGGGATGAGAACAAGTTTACTGCTGATGGGCTGCAGTCCCTGACAAACAATCTTTGCTACACGTAAGTTTGTCTTTAATTTTACAGTATGATGTCTTGATAGTTTATTGATTTATTTCCTTTCCTTATCATTCTACTATTATTTTAGCTCTAATTTTGGTCTTGCTACTCTTTTTTTTCCCTTCCAGATATGCCCGATGCACGCGATCTGTTTCCATAGGTAAGCCACCCCCCCCCCAAAAAAAAAAAAAAACACAGCGCCCACATGATTCACGTCAATACAAGCATGGATTGTACTAGACTAATAACTTCCACTCTTGCTTGCTTTATGATGTTGCAGTGCCACCTGCATACTATGCTCATCTTGCTGCATTTCGAGCCCGTTTCTACATGGAGCCAGAGACATCAGACAGTGAATCAATTGCAAGTGGCATGGCTGGTGGTCGTGGAGGTGCTGGTGGGGGTCCTCGTCCAACGCGTGGACCCGGTGCTAATGCTGCTGTGAGGCCTTTACCTGCCTTGAAGGAGAATGTCAAGCGGGTTATGTTCTACTGCTAGGATCGTTGGAAATCCTACTTTTGGATGGGCATTTAATTTTACTAGTTGAAACTGTTCTGCTGGGAAAGCGGGAGGCCCCTGCGTGCTCTGAAGTAGAATATCATGATGGCTGTGCTTTGCTTTGGTTTTTGTGTCATCTGGCCGGTAGATATTTGCTTTTAAATTGCCACTCATACTGCCGTGATCAGAAAGCTGCTTTCAGCTCATGCTGTGTGTATGGCATCGAGTATCATTGAATCTTAAAACTCTTAATCCTCCCCATGAAACTGGGATTTCATTTTTCATGCATCTGGTCATCTTCCTGCCACCTCTATTTATCTCGGCATGGATCTTGAAATTGCAGTTTGGATCTAGTTCCAACAAGCCAAGGTTCAAATTTAGTCAAATGGTAATCATTAACAGATGAAGGATTAAAGATTATGAGAAAGCTAGTTGGTGATAGGGAATGTAGGCTGTCAGATACTTCTTTCCTTCCCATTCAACAGTTCATGGTGTCTGCTAAGCCAGTATTGTTGCCAAGAAATAGCACTAGGACTCTTCATTATGTAGCTTGGGATTACGAAATTGTATAGAAGCAGTAAGAGGAAGTCATAATCTTTCAAGTAATTTGAAGTCGTATTTAAAAATTATTGCTGGTAAATGATAGATAATTGTAACGAGTGGTACAAAAACAATTTTAAAACTCAATAAGATATTTAATCCTTTGATCGAAACAAGATTTAATCCCGTTTTATTATCAGCTTTCGATGTAGCCCAAATCAAGATCTAGAAAATAAATCAAATCAATTTAGAAAAATCACATCAAGCATAATCCAAATTTACGCTATCCATTAGTGCTCTAATAGGCAAACATCCATGCGAAGGTATAAAATAGTAATCCAAGAAAGAAGTAACTTGCGGTCGTAGCAAAGAACATGAGAAATGAAAATATTTTTTTTTAAATAAAAATAATATTATTTTAATATATTTTTAAATAAAAAACAGTTTTTTAAAAAACTATTATCATTATTTAAACAGTAACAAGATACTGAAACATGAAGATCACACAAAGGTCACGTGAGGACTCGTAACCTTCATTCGGGAAGGAGAAGAAAAGCATAAAATATATCAGTCCTCTCCAACCCATGCATTTTACTCACTGTATCATTCTTCCCCTCCACTTCTAAGATATTAACCTAAAAAGGCAATCTAAGCTTTGCTTCTTCTGTCAATCACACATTCCTTTCTTTTCTTTCAGATTTCTTCTCCTCCTCCTCCCCCCCTAGCCAAAGCCTTTTTATCTTTCTTTTTTCCTCTTAAGCATTTCCAGTTCCCTATATAAGTACATTGGCGCCCACCTTTTACAAACACACAGAGGTTGCTTTGTGTTTTTTGAAAAAAAAACCCTTT